CATGCCGCCCTCCTCTACCTCTGATTTAACGGTCTATGTGGTTCATCTGATGGCCAAGGTATTCCTAAGTGGTGACTGCTTCGAGTTCTTAGCCAATCGCGTCGACAGAGCCCTCTGGGCGATGCTCGTTTCTCGTCCATTTCGTCCATTTGGGGAGGTTCACTTCTAAACCGATTGTGACAGGTACTGCTCTTAATTGCTGGATCTTCTCTTGGAACTCCATCGTCTCTAGTGCTAAAGCGACGTAATCGTCCACAAGTAACAAGTGCGTTAGCTGCTCTGCATTAATATTTATATCCTCGTCATTTTTACATTCGTTTTGCAGATCGAAGAATGAGTCCAAAGCCATGATGAATAGCACCGGTGAGATGATATCTCCTTGACGCACTCCTCTGTGGGTGCCGATGCGATACTCTAGCTGAACTGTTTGATACCTGTCGTGCAACGGTGTTTAATTCCTCAATCAGACTGACGAAAGCAGGGCTTCTGGCTTGTTCATGTACGGAATTAAACGATGAAAGTATACAGATTGGTACTTGATATTTCTTGCCCTTCTCCGTTAGCGGCTGGATGACACGCATATAGTCGTTGGTAGAAAACCTTGTTCGGAAACCGGCTTGCTCTCGACTTGTGGTGAGCTCAAGGTCCTTGCAAATATGGTTGAAAATGATGCGGTTGGTAAACACTTAGATTTGCAGCAAGAGTATAACTTACCGATAGCTCTTGAGGACTTCGAAGTCGCTTTCCCTCATGTAAGAATCGCTCTTGACTTCTTCGCCGTTTTACTCACCTTGTTTTGTCTGAAGAATTCCTTAAAACGTTTGGCAAGTACTTTAAACAGGAATCTCTTCCAGTTATAAGGTTTTCTGGTCTTGTATCATCCTTGCCTGGACATTTGCCGCTGTAAAATTTCTGATTGTCAACTCAACTACGTCACCATTACTATTCACACCTTTTTCGGAAGAGTACAGATTTTTGTAGAACTTTGTGCAGACTGAGTTTATCCGATTGCGATTAGTAATTGCTGCCCATCCTTCGTCCTTCGGAATACGTTGTTTGAGATAAATGTCTCGTTACACCTCTTGCGCACTTTTCATGCCCTCTGCGGTTTGCTTTAATTGAATCTCTGTAATTTCCATGGTCTTCTCTCAACTTCTTCATCATCTCTTTGCGCAATATTGTGCAGGGGTTGACCGTTTCCCCTTCGGCTTTCAGTTGGGCTCTTTCTCCCGTTTCACGACCGAGAAATTGCTCTCTCGTACACTTTTCTGTCCGTCTTGAAGTTCTTAATGGCGCTGACAAAACGGTCCTAATTTGCATTTATGCTGTTGAAGATATTTGCTCTTTCAAGGCTCATTTATGACAGTTCCTCTGGGAAAGCCCATGCTCGCATCGTTGTTCTTCACAGAGCTGTGGTCTTTGGACTCCTTTCATCCGCTCCCCTTTTGTGGCATCAATCGTAACTGTGGAACTTATTAACCTCTAGCCTGACCCTGAACAGATCTTATTCTCGCATTTGACGACACGTCTGATATTATTTGTGTCTTGCCCGTCAACGCAAAGTCGATTTGGTTCGAAGACTTATCATTTAGACTTCGCTATGTCCACTGTCGCTTTGGAAGTTTCTGGAAAACTGTGTTAATGACCTAGAGGTGGTTGTATTTAGCGTAAGTTTCGAAACGACTTCCGCGTTCATTTCTTCCCCTTTTGCGTATTTGCTGGCAAATACCTCCGTGTCGTTCATTCTTTTCCCAACCACTGCGTTGGAGAATTACGTGATGATCATATTGTCTAATTCAGCTTCCAATTCCTCGCCGGATTTATCGATCTCTTCATCTTCAGCTTTTCTGGTTGGACTGTAGGCTTGAATTATTTTCATTGTTGTTCTTCTGTCCATCTGCAGAGGTTGAATATATTATTACAGCTCAGTACAAATGATACGACCTGAAGCTCGGTTTTCGAAGGTTTTTCTGAGGAATTCTTGGTCATCGTTTTGCCAATGTGGCACATATTCGGTAGTTCTTTGGGCCTCTCATATTCCGAATATATTCGCCGTTTCCGTGATGTATACGTAGATGAATATGGCTGCTGATTGCGTTGTTTCATTATGGTTGGCCTGGAAGATTTTGGTGACCTTACAGGTTTGTTTACCAACTGGGTCTGGTGATTTTCTGAATCGTTGGTGTTGTTCAGGCTTATGCAATAGCCTGTACTCATTTTCGCGGTTTCGTTTACGTGTGATCGTTTTGGGGAGTAGTTGTTTGAAAGTTCATTCGGGTGCCAACCCTGGTCAGTGCATTTTGTGAATTCAAAGTTAGGTCCATGAACGCCATGGAGTGAATTTGCTAATCCGCTCTGGGGACTTTGAAAACTTTTAATGGAATTTAACGCACTCAGCTAATTAGAAAAGTGATAAGGAATGAATAATGGCATTCCACAAACATAAAGCAAGTCTGTTTGGGAAATGGCATTTTTAACTTTTTTATATTCAAGAATAGCACAGGGGGCACACTGACTATCTGTTTGAACATTGGCGATATTTTGTACTCGGCTGGATGATGCGATTGGTTGTTACCCGAGAGCAAACTTTGTATGCTTGCCATTGCCAAACTGAAATTTGACCTAGAGGCAAGATTGAATGGCAAAACTACGTGCAGAAAGTACTGTTCAATGTTTTCAATGGAAATTTAACTAAGGCGGTTTGCGAAATATATTTTTACTGGAGGCATAAGTCACGTGGAACTGTGGTATGCTAGATCGCAACTCTTTTGTAAGTAGAGACCAAAATACGCTTTGTCATCATACATTGCAATTTTCACCTCGTGAAGTGGAAGACACGGATACGAGTGCTTTCTAACCTAGCATACAATGGAAATTCATACAACCCGTTGTTTGACCAAACCGCTGAATTCCAAGATCAGGTTTTGTCATTGTTCTATTGCTTACTATTCCTTTCGTTTAAACGGAGCAAACAGTCATAAAGAATCGATATCACCGCAGAGCGCCAAAAATACGTCAGCGTTGTATGCGAATTCCTGTGACACAAACGAACATCTGGCAAGAACTGGAGGTCGATTCATTTTATAACTTCTTTCATTCATGCAATATGCATGCCAAAAGAAAAAATAAATCATCATTGGAAGGCCGGAGTCGGTGGATCATGGATCACTTGCGAACAGGAGTTCTATTTGGCATTGTGCTACGTCGATCTAGCGTCATCTTCAAGCACGGCATCAATATGGTCACTCTGAAGGAATTCAGAATGATCAGGTTGTATAATGAGGGGCGTTACCGGCCCAGGGCGGAGTAGCGAACGGACAGCGCTTGTGAGGAGACGATGTCGGACCTCCTACTCAATAAAATCAGACTCCACTCTATTCATTTTCATTTCGTGAACCTGTATGATAAGGTGGTTGCGTCACTCGGTTCATTAATGAGAACCTCATTCGAAGAAAAATGCAGATTAATAGTCTCTAGTAATAGTCCCTAGTTTCAAGTATTGATTACGGTATACAATTCGGTATAAGTTTGGTGTCCGTCGAAGAGACGATATCTTTTTGTAGCTTTACTTTTTCCTCGCTTGTTCCCTTAACTGAGGATTCGCTATTGAGTGTACTGCCTCCAGATTTTTTGATCTTTGGTCAAAACCTCGATCATTCCTTGTTGTTTCTCGCCACACTTTCTTTGGAGTTTCCGTTCTGTTCTTCGCTGACAGTATCAGTACTCGTCGGATCTTCGTTTGACGTGACCAAACAAACGGAGCCTGCGTTTGAATTGCTTTTCTGTAACTTGTGCTGGCGCCTCTTCTGAAGGTATTCAGCATGTCATCCTTCTTGCTGACACCGCACATCCATCTGAGCATTCTTGTTTCTGTGGAAGTGAGCTGTTGCTTGTGTCTCTCCAGGGTTGCGAAACGTTCCACTACGAACGGAAGTGCACGGCAGGTTTTTACTATCCTTCTGTACATCTTACCCTTTAATCTGATGAACGATATCTTATTAGACAGTATACCATTACCCTCCATACTTCCACCTTGTCTAGAAGGATCGAACCACGTAACCAGGACATATTTTTAAGTTATCTGACACAATTCATGTTCTATGCAGTGCTGCAGTACATTTTCAGCCGGTATCGAATGATCCCACGTGTAAAATTAATTCTGCTAACATTAATAGATGAGTTTACAGTTAAATGTCATTGCGTGTACTGTCCAACTTCCATTTTGCTGAAGCACAATGATAATCGCATTATTCAAAATTCACGCATGTCCTTCTCATGACCGTTGTTCTGTTCAAATCCTATTCTTTGCCGCTACGTCAACAAACTACTCAGTCCTTTCCGGTTCCCTGCTTCGACGGGTGACGTACAAACACACGTATTGTCTGTTGATCATTTTTTTGTCCAAATCGCATCCAAACGCAAAAGTTTCAAAGTGCCTGTCGGTAAGGAGGCCTAATTGCGGCGTACGACTGCTGGCATGGTGCACTTTTGTTATGGAGTTACACGAAGGCTCGTTAGGAGACGAAAAAACGTGCAGAAAAAGCTGTTCCGTTAGGAAATGTCGCCGCTTCATTACGTTGTAACTGTGGGAATGAACAGCTGAAGTTCCACACAGCAAGATGCTGGGGTGGCTGACGCCGTTGTGGCTGCGGCGGTCGCTGAGCCTCTTTTTGTTGACCCTCATTTTTTACCGTATCTTCGGTCGACCGCGCACAGAGGGACATCCGACCGAGGACACCTGCCCTGCGCTGTGTGGTCCAATAGTCCAGTGCTCCAGTGGTTGTGTGACTCCGACGAAATGAGCAGCATCGATTGATCGCAAACGACGCAGCAATTCCGGTTCCGGTCTTGGTCCGCACCGACTTCGCCAAGTGGTGACATGGCCCATTTCGGCAAAGGTCCTTGACGGTCGCTTTCGCCCTCATGTAATTGCCAGTGCGAAAAAGTTGGCTAGGTCTCATTCACGCGTCTTGCGCACGCGTTCCATGTCTAATTCATACCAGGGCTCTTCCGCTCTTCAACGGCGTCTTGCCGAAAGAGTACATTGTCCTTTTATTAACGACAATTACGAGCACAGGAAAATTTTGACCTGACACGCGTATTATTATGAGTACCCTCTTTGAGTGTGATCGAGTGCCATACCCGTCATTATTTCTGCAGGTTTATAATGCAAAATATGAGGTCTGTTCTGAAGGATGCCACAAAAGATAGGATGTACTACAATGAATATATTCACTGTGACCACTTCAGACATTTCTGTACGTGGGACACCGTTTGACGTCGCTATTTCTCCCCATAACTACTACGAACTTTTCTTAGGTAAGGAATTCTGGTACAATTAGCTGCTGAGGAATTCGACATTGGACAACTGGATCCAATTGATTTCCAATGCGATCGTTAGCAGATTCGACTTCTTTGATCGTTTCAATATTTGAAGTCTTTCCTCGCTAAAGGTGTAAGTTACAAGACGACAGAAGTCGAACACCACTTTCGTAGCACCGCCAGTTCTGTCGTATTTCTACCTTTTCATTACTCCCTTAGAGGAAGCTTCGATATTGACCTCATTTCATGGTACTGCGCTTACAACTTTTCACCAAACATAGTAAAGCACGGCAGCCAGCTTCGGACACACTATCGCACGGATTATTTTTCAGCCATGACACTCGCGTTCATCGTTCAACACGGGTGAGCCTTTCCAGCCAGCTGATCTCGAACGTTATATGGCCAGCTGACCGACCGCAATGCAACTCATGCGGTCGCCTCTCGATTTCGATAAGTACAAGACAATGCTTGTAAATGCAAATCAGGTTCGTTATTTCGTTATTATATTTACAGTCCTTTATTCGACTAGTTCTCGTTGGGGGCGACCCATGAACGCAAGTTGGTGCTCTCCCAATCTCCTCTAGTTTTGAACGCTCCTTGGCGAGTGGCTGTTCAACAGTCAACTCGGGATGCTAACCGTGGTGAATCATTGCCAACGTTTCTTCAGCCTTTGTCCAGATCAGTGGATTCAGAGAAGTGGAACACGTTGTGAGGTTATGTTCGCAGAAAGATACGAGTGGTGAGGGGCGGGAACACTACTTTTCGGAATGGGTTCCTCCTACATTATTTTCAGACCCTCACTGATAGCTAACTCCATTCCGTAAGCATATGAAGCAAGCAAGCCCGATGGACTCTATAAGAGCATATTTGCTTTATGGCTGTTGTTTCATGACCACGTTAAAGAGAATTTTGTCTGATGTGGTAACTATCAGATTAGTTTCAAGCTTAATCCGTTGGCATGATGATAGATGACATCTTCTATATCATAGACTAAAAATACCGTTTATCGTGATCTTAAAATTCATGGCCTATTGGATGCAAATGGTCATGTAACGGACTTGATGTATCACCCAACTAACTAATGTGCATTATCGCAGAATGTTAGTCGAGTAGAAAGTAATGGTTAGGTAAACGCCAAATTGTGCAGGTGTCATTAATCCGCCATGCATGAAATAGTGCAAAAATAAATGTGGTGCCAAGCTCAGAGCAAACATCGCATGAAGAACAAGTTTTCATCTCATAACTTCTGCAGCTCGTATCGAAACCGTGCCGTAGATGATGAATGACTTGAATCTGACACGTCTTCTGACCTTATGGTTAGGAGTATGAAAATCAGGAAAATATTATTTATCAGTGATTTGACTTTTCGGCCGAACTAGTATCCGTCATCATAAGCGAGTTCTTCCTTGATGACGACAGATAGCAGTATGGCTGATTAAATAATGAATTTTTTCTTACTTTTCGTGTTCAAAGCCATGGAATCAGTAGACGTAAGGTCCCCTTACTTTTGCTAAACTTGTTCAACCTTACTAGCACGAATCTTTCATTTTCTGTTGCGATAGTTTTATCCTTTCATTGCTGTATGAATTTTCTTTGCGCCTACTACCATAAATCGTCATCTCATTTCAGAGTTTAGAGGATATAATGAGACGATGTAAACATAGGTTTTTCCTAGAACGATTTGTTGCTGTT